TTCAGACGTGTGCTCTTCCGATCTCCCCAAAACCCCAAAACCCCAAAACCCCTTACTTTGAAAGCTCCAGCTTATAAAATAAATGCAAATTAACTATAGATTATAATATTAAACATGATTGGCTGGCTGTTCAAGGAGAATTGTCTCTTTTCAAAATAATTTGCAACCGTTCCCAGGACCACAGTAACCTGGATTATCTCTTCTTATTTAGTTCTTCTTTTTAGTTAGACTATTTCGCTGACTAAGGAGTCCACTTCCATTTAAATATTTGTTATTATACTCAGGGCTATTCATTGTTGATAGGTTATGAAGCGCGACTGTTTTCATGCTTTGCTAGTATTCAGGATCAACAACAGAATTTGAAGCAATTATAGTGGAAGATAGATTAATGTCACTCCTAAGTTAAGTATTTCTTAGATCTTCTCTGCTTGAATTCATAATTGAGTGATCTGCTTAATAATTTCTGTTATATTTTTACTATGACTGATTTCCTCTCGGCTGTTTTCCTATTTTTGTATATTTTTTCTATTCATCTTCAAGTCTTGTCTTTTCACTTGCACTTTAACTTAATTGTAATTGCACCTTTAGAATTTGTTCTTCTAACTTTAAAAGTTCATCTCAAAGTGTATCAATAGTTTCTTAGACTTCTTTAGTCTCTATAGAAATGGACTCTTTTTTTTCTCGAAGTGTATTACAATCTTCGTTGATCTGCACCATTTCATTATCCAAAGTCTTTTTCTCTCTTTTGACTCTTTTCCTTTGTAGTTTTATCCTATCTTTTTCCAGTCTAATTGTCTCATTAAATTAATCAAATTCCTCATCAAGCTCCTAGCATTCATTCTCTTTTTTTGTCAATTACTTTTACAAATCCTTTATGTAAAATCTACTGTTGTCTATGTTAACACGGGATGATTAAACCATCTTCTAAATGTAGAATTTTCTGTCACAGACTTTGCATACTTCCCCTCTGTTTCTATAGTCCTCATTGTTCATAGGATATGGCCTGCTCTTAATGATGCATTGTTTGCAAAATATTTCTCCACAAAATTCACTATCAATAGGGGTTAGAATGATTATAGATATGGATAACAGTGAAAAATAAATTAGTCATTATAATCTTACAATGAAGACTTACCAATATTAAGCTGTTTTGGGATTTTTTACTTTTTAATCGCAGCAATTGCACGTTTAGCCAATTAGAAACTACTGTTGCTCTGCTGGACCATTAGCAATAAAAATAGGATCTTAATCATCGAAGTAAAACTATCTATTGTCAATGAAAAAAAACTTGGATCTATCTATCATATTCTGAATGAAATCTCCTGACTCTCCCTCATTGTTATCAATATTGCAATCATCAAATGCTTTATTAAGCATATCATTGTTTAATAAAATTTTCTTGATGTTGTTGCTATACTAAGGAGGAGAATTTGGGAACGCCTTTCCTATAAAGAGTATTAAACTGAATAGTTGTACTGGTTTAGACTTGAGGTGTCATACTTTTATGCATGAATTAATGCTTAGACGACATTTTAAGTTTGCAAAATTATTATAATTCCTTTAAAATATGTAAAATAATTATGTTTCAATAAAATTAATAATAATCAAACAATGATAAAAATACAGAAAGTAAAGAAGTTTATTACAAACCCAAAGAATGAGTTAATGATATCTCTTATGAGATAGTTCAATACTTAGTAGTCATAGAAAAAAGTAGATGAAGTCTATTAGAGTGCATATAATGACCCCTCATTTGACAAAACTGACTTCTAAAGGAAATTTGATATGGCTTAGCCCTCAATGAATGAATATTTCGATAAAAAGTAAGCATTATTCTATTTCTTATAAGTTTAGGATTAAAATATATGGACTGGCTGATGGTTAGTTCCTGATTAATCATTACTGGGTATCAGGCTCTGTGATTCTGTTCCCTAAGAGATTTTACATGTGGAATATTATTGACCCCTTAGAAGTAAAACCGCACACACTTGAGGTCTTAAACTTTGTGAAGCCAAGACCTGACTATTTGATCATAGGTACTGGTGAGAAAAATCTCAACTTAGATTTCTCATTTTACGAGCATTTTAGGAGAATGGGTATAACTGTTGATACATGTCCTACTGTAAGCTTTTCAACTTTTAATAAAATAATCTCTAGTTTGAAGCATGTAGTACATTCAATATGTGTAATGAAGATGATTATAATGTCGCTTGTGCTCTTGTCGCTCCTCAAATCTCAGATGAAAAAGGCTAGAATAAATTGCCTCAACTTCAAGCTGATTCTAATGAACATAGAGAACCAAGACACAATAACTTAATTAAGTGAAAGTTAAATTATTTCAAATGCTTTTGCAAACTTGATGAAAGTACAATAAATTCTAGTTCTTCAATTCAGCACTATTCAGAATTATGGGGTTTTGGGGTTTTGGGGTTTTGGGG